ATTATTTTATAATTATAATTTTTATAATTATTATAGTGTAAGAATGTTTATAATGTTTCTAAAATGTCTACTTTCTACAGAAGCGTTTGTGCTTTTCATATTGGTTTATAACAGCTCTTTATCACATACTGCAAATATTTCCTTGCCATTTTAACTTTAGTGGGTTGTTCTGAGAGACTGAAATTTTATATTTTAGGTAACCAAAGAACTGTCTTTTTCTTTATTGTTTGACAGACTTTTCTCTACCCAATTAATTTCTTTGATTACCTTTCTGGTTTCATTTTTACATTTAATCCACCTGGAATTTTAGGATAAGACAGGAAGTATGAATCTATATAGTTTTCTATGTAGTCAGCCATCTAACCTTGCTTATTTAAGAATTTTTTATTTTGTTACATATTCCCACATGGACGTGGACCTGACTTAGACTTAGTTCTCCTGCCCTTTCTATTCTGTTTTCAAGTAAATTCATATTAGGTTTTAATACTTATTAGGGAAATTCCTTCTTCTGCTCTTTAAAAATTATCTTATCTATTCTCAGACATTTATTCTTTTTTTTCAGACATTTATTCATTCAGATGAATTATAGGACCATTTCATCAAGACCAAAAAATAAATTTTTTTAAAAATTCACTGAAATTTCCTAGAATTGCATTAAACACATACAATCAGTTGAGGAACTCAGTGCTTTTTATATAAGCCGGAACCTTTTCTGTATAACACCCGTCAAAGCATCAACTGAAGGACTGTCATGAATAAATAATAAGCGAAACACTGGCTCACAGATGAATTACGTGAAGTCTGGACATTCTTCTTCTGGTCCCTCTGTGCCTGTGGCTTCCGGCCACCCCACAACCGCACATCGCTCCCCAGGTGCCCAGGAACCATCACCGACACCTGCTTCCCTACAGCACCTCACGTGCCTTACCTTTCCTGGCTGCTGCCTTCTCTCTCCCCATCCACACCTGACAGTCCAACACCTACTGCTCCTGAACCCTACCGAGCAACCACCCAGCTCCGCAATGAAAGGCACGTGGCCCTGATCGTGTTAGTGCCTCTTTTTTCACTTTACAGAGAACTTGAGGCGAAGTCTGTAGAACTGCCTCGGAAGGGCGTCCTCAATCTGGTTAATAGCGATAGACGGCCAGAACGCGGGGTCCAGGAATGGAGCAGGGAGGCTGCATGAAGCCTCCCCAAGGCCGGGCGAACCACCCCATCAGCCTGAAGGTCCTCAGCCTCCCTTCTCCTGACTCCATGTTCACCAAATAAACCAATGGGGCTTTCCAGGCCCTCAATAAGACGAAGGCAATGTCCACGAAAGGGCTAAAAAATGTTAAATGCCGTCATAAATGGCTACTTCAGATTAAAAGACACACACTGTGATTTCTGCGAGTTTGTTTAGCTTGAGTCCTGCCCTTCTGGGGACTTCTGACAAACAGGTTTCTAGATCTGCAAAGTGGAAAGCTAGACCTTTGACTGCGGTGACCTGCCATCTTGCTGGGGGACATTCAGGCTACATCCTTTTAAATGGTAAGGTGTAGCCCAATTTATAATTATGAATGTATTCCTGAGATGTAAGAAGTGCACATAATAAAAACCTGACAAACAGCCTTAACAGTGATACATCACGTATGTGAACCTCAGACTACCACGCCCACAGGCCCTTCCTAAAAAAAAGAGGCCACAGGAACAACCAAGAATACTTTATCCAGCAAAGCTAACATTTAGAGTCGAAGGACAGATAAAGAGCTTCCCAGACAAAAATAAGCTAAAGGGATTTATCAACACCAAGCCAGTATTACAGGAAATGTTGGAGGAACTTCTTTAAGAAGAAAAAACATATATCAAAAACAGGAATAAAGAATGATCATAACTACACTCTTATCAACAAGTACCTCAAATAGAAAAGAATTAAGTGTTCCAACCGAAAGACAGAGTGGCTGAATGGGTAAGAAAACAAGACCCCTACGTATGCTGCCTACAAGAGACTCACTTCAGATTAAAAGACACACACAGACCGAAAGGAAAGGGATGGAAAAAGATTTGCCTTGATGGACCTAGAGGGTCTTGCGCAGAATGAAATGGTTCGGATAGAGAAAGACAAATGTCGCGAGATTTCACGTACATGTGGAATCTAAAGAACAAAATCAACAACAACAACAAAAGCGGAAATAAACTCATAGATACAGAGAATATTTAGAGGGATGCTAGATGGGAGGGGAGTTGGGGGACCAAAAAAAGGCAAAGGGATTAAGAGGTACAAATGGATAGTTGCAGAACAGACATGGAGGTGTAGGGTGTAGCATGGGAAAGATGGTTAATAATGTTCTAATAAATATGTGAGGGGGAAGAGGGGTACTAGATTTAGTGGGGTGATCACTTTGCGAGTTATGTGGATCTCTGATCACTACGCTATACAACTGAAACTGGTATATTATTATATGCCAACTAGGACTGAAAAAAAACCTCATCGAATTGTACAATGTAAATACATGCAACTAATTGCCTATTATATTTCAATAAAGATGGATGACAAAAAAGAAGTAGAATTGACAGTTACAAAATAGTCATAGTCGACAAGAGTTAACAATACTGTAATAACTAGGTATGGTGCCAGGTCAGTACTAGCTTTATCAGGGGGGTCACCTTGTAAATTACATAAATGTCTAAACATCATGCTGTATACCTGAAAATAATGTAATATTGAATATCAACTATAATCGAAAACTAAAAATTAAAAAAATGGGGGAAAAAAAAGAGGCCACAGGAATTCCTGGCTAAAAGTTGGTGTGCTTTGTGTCATCGGACCTAGGCCACAGCTGATGAGATCAAGAATTCGTACCCTAGTCCAAAACAGCCTACGGGCTAGCTGGAAGTACGTAACCACATGGCCCAGTGGCCTACAGGGGCTTCTCTGAGAGGATGTGGCCCCAACAGGCTGCTCCCTATGAGATAGTAACTACTTCAGTCAGACTCTCCCTCCTAGAGAGACAAAGAGGCTGAGAGCTGTAGGCAGAAGCAAAGAACTGACCCGTGTCAGGCCCCCTTAGAATCGAAGCCACGGTCGCCTGTTTCTGAAGGAACCCCAAGATGGTCATTATGGGACTCGCTGGCTCTGTCAACAATTTGGGATGGAATCCCAGCTCAGTCAGTGCTGGCTGTTTGGCCCTCGGTAAACAATTTCTCTACACCTCAGCTTTTTCGATAAAATGGAGATAATGATAGCTTCCATCTACAGGTCATATCATACATGTTATGTGATACTCAAAGAATTGTCGTGAGAATAAAATAAAGTAAAACACATCAAGAGGCTTAGCCAGGAAGAACCGTCGACAGATGAGCACAACTGTCCCTCCAAATTCCCGCTCTGTTCTGGGGACCTATGAGCGATGATGAAGAAACAGTCTGTGTGTCGTCACCTTCTCGCGTTCCCTGCAGCCTCCTCACGCCTCCCCCGCACAGCTACCCAGCAGCGCTGTGTCACCCACCCTCACATCCCCGTGTCACAGAGGTGTGACTGAGAGGACTCGTGTATCTCAGAGCAGCAGACCCGGACAAAGGAAAATACTGGGGTATCGTCACTCCACAGCCACCAGGGGAAGGCGGAAGGGCAAACGCTCAAGCTGTCCCTGCACGTCGGACACAGGAAATACTTACTAAACGCATCTACTGCCTTTGTCATGTTGTTCTGGGCAGGCCTGATAAAATAAAAAGGAAAAAAAAAAGGTTTTCCCCCTGAAAATTACAAAGAGAAAATACTACCACAGTTTCATTGGCGTTTGTGAAAGCGCTGCCTCCCACGTGGCCTGGCAAATATTTCTGGTGCCCTTCGAATGACCCTTGCTCCCAGATGTCCCGTCAGGACCCATGTCCTGGCTTCAGGGACTGTGGTTAAAGTGCCATATGGGTGACTGTTAACAAGGGGGCACGATTCTTTCATACAAAATCTATCGCACACCTTCAGGCGTGCCCTTTTCAGATACGGTTGCTCAGGAGGCACAGAAATCTCTACCCTGCCATTTTCACCCTGACGAAACTATTTGTGACGACTCGATTTCCCACCACTCCCATTACGTAAAGAGTAAATTCTTCAGTGTTAAAACGCTTCGTGAGCGATACCACCGCCCGAGGTCCAGGGTTGGGTGCAGTACAGTCTATTGGTTTAAAATGTGGGCTTTGGAGTCTGAGGCCTGCTTTGTCACTTATTAATTGCATGGCTTTAGACGAATTATTTTATGTCTCTAAGTTTCATTTCCTCATTTGCAAAATAGGGACACTACCGCTTACTCGTGAGAATTAAAGGAGATAATGTCATTTAAGCCTAGTTGCTTATTATGATTATAGTAAGGAAGTTTTTAAAAAATTACATTTCTTAGACTACCAGCCAAGCGGGTAATACCTACTTCTCCTATATGTTTAAATGATGTTGTTTACCAAAAGAAACAAACAAGCAAACCAACCAACCTAGAGATCTACCAGAGATCTACTTGACTTCCATAAATAAATTACTGACACAAAAATGGAAGTATGTCCTAACAAGAGGAAAACTTTTTTCCTCACCATAAAAACTCGTGCCCTCCCTGGGAACAAGTACTATATAGACTCCACTTCACTGACAGCAGCCTCGACTTGTACTTGGATAGGATCGGATGCAGGATTCTAATATTTTTACACTTCAGGCCCCAAACAAGGGGGAACTGATTCATCTTCTACAGACTGTTAAAATACAATGGATTCAGCTAGCACTCACATGCGCATCGCTCCCAACTCAGCTCCGTGAGATATCACAGGAAGCCATTCCAGTACAAGAATTCTAAAATAAGCCCCGCCCCCAGGTCCTGCAGGTATGCACCCCCCCCACCTGCCCCGCCTCTGTCTACCTCTTCCTCCACCGCCCCTTAATTACGTTAAAACTTTACACCCTCCTGTCTGCCCCAAATCGGGCAGCAGTTAGGGCTATAACAAGATTGGTAATCTCTAGACTGCATCTACTCTAAATATACTTTTGAATAAAAAGGACCCGTTTCCCACGTCTTACTCGCTGACGTCTAGGTCCTGATCATCAGAAGACTCATCTTCTCCCAGGACGTTTTCAGGATCTGGTTTCCGAATGAGAAAGAAAAGAACTGTCCCCACGAGGCTAATCACTGTCAGGGCAATAAACACTGTTCTTCGGTCACTCTCTGGGAAGAGAGAAGAAGACAACACTGACCGTACATACAACTGCAGAGTTAGCACGATGTTCACAGTTTTTTTATAACCGTCAAAACGCTTCATTAAATTTTTACTTTATCGTATCAATAAAAACCTAGGACAGGAGATAAACAGGGTATCTCCGCCTGTCTTTCGGTTAAAGAAATACTAATGAGCCAAGAGAAAAACACGAGAACTTAATCATATTCTTTTAATCAAAGCAGCATACAAACAAAACAATTGAGTTCAAAAGCCTGGCAACGCACGCGTATCCTCATTCACAGCAGCACCTTCTCCCACATCGAGATGCCACTTGAAGCTCAGTCAATAACTCTAATCCTAACTTAATAATGTGATCCAGGGGGAAGAGTTACTAAAATCTGAGAACGTTAAATGCCAATGTTCATCAGAACCATCTCAACAAAGCAATAATGGGTATTTTTGTAGAACTGCTGTTATGCTTTGCACGTATCTGAATAAAGCAAAATAAATAAAACAAACCTGATATTTGAGTTTTCCCTTGCCAAGCAAAATATATGTAGAGATTTCCAAAGAACAAGCTGGGGGGAGAAGGGGGAAGAGACTGTTGGGAAATTATTTTCGTATTTAGTTTTTAAACAATTTTTCCATTACTTGTTAAAAAGAGAGGAAGATGGAGGTACATATAATTTCGAAAGTACTAACCCACCCTAAATCATTTAAAAGCAACAACTGCACCCTGACTCTTTCTAAAACCTTAACTGACCCAGATGGAGTTCAGTCTCCCTTCACGTGACAGTAACCTGATTCAGAACCGCCCTTCAAAGAAGTCTTGACTCACTCTGAAGCATGTGATTTATTATTAGAACTCTGGAAACGACTCCTGAGAAACAAGCTTATGTTAATTCTAAAATCCTATATTTTCAAGAATCTAAAAAAAAAAAAAAGTCCTTGATTTAGTTATCTGCAGCTAATCAGATACTTTATTTTGCACACTTTCCTAGAGAAGAATCGTTTACCCACGGTCCAGTTTCTTAATGTGCAACTCCTTAAAACTAAACATTTGCACTTGTTAAGCCTTATCAATGCCAAAGGTTTAGGCAGGATCCATGAGGGTAGATCCTCAGGACAAATTTCATGACAGGATGATGTTGTTTTTTACTTAGAAAATATATAACACGCTATATAGTTCACCGTTGACAGAGTTAATCTCACTGTTATATATAAATAAATAGCTATCAGGTAGTGTAGGCAGGTCAGAAGGATGTGGCCTCGGGGATCCAGATGATGATGGTTTAAATCGAATCAGTTACTTAACTTTTAAGCCTCTGCTTTCTCAACTGCAGGTTTCCTCATCTTATAAATTTGTGAAAATTACTGAAATTAAGTAATGAACCCAGTGGTCCCTGAAGTATAATCAATGTTAAATACGCTGTAGTTAATCCTATTTTCTATTTACTAATCATAAGTTCTAATGCATTTGAGGCCGATACATGCATTTTAAGTAATTCTATGAAATGTTAAATCTATAGCATATGCATCTAGGAACTTAAGTCACGTAACATAGAAGATCTGAGTTCTCTAAAAAAAAAAAAAAAAAAAATTTAAAGATTGAGCTCCAAAAGGATTATTACCTGGATTGTAAAAGTGCCCAGAAGATTCCACTGTTTCTCCCAATAGTGTGCTCATCTGAATTCACCGTCAAGCAGTTTCCTTGTGCTGTCCAAAGCACTAAAATTCAAACCCAAAGGTGAGCAGGGGAGTGGAATAGCTCGGCTTCGCATACCGAACACATCCACGATCCTCTTAGATGAGCCCCGGGGAAATGAAGAAAATGAACATGAACATGCTTACCAGCAGCTGCAATTCCAATGAAAACAGAGGCTGTGTAGAAGGACCATGGGAAAGGCTGGATAAAAACGGCAATGTACATGCTAAAATATAACAGGTCAACGTATTATAGTCAAACGATACCTGAAACAGAATGCCAGTTATGCCTTCTAGGAATCAATTCTGAGGACTCTCTTTTAAAAGTCAACCTGTAAAGGACTTCTCTCGTGTTGAAAACGAACAAATGTGACCTACTCATTTCTCAATTTATTATTTCAAATTTGTAAAATCAACGACACTGAATGAGGGTTTGCAACTGGCCTTTGCCAACAGCTCAGCACATGACGGGACTGTGGTTCCACAGCCCAGAGGAAAAGTTCAGTTATTTCATTTGAATTGCTGTTAGTCGATTTGATATAAAATAAGATTATTTCAGGGGACGTTCCTTTCAACTGTCACGGAAAAACATTCTGGGGTACTATTTGTATCAATAGTAAAACAAAAACAAAGACACACACAGCCCATCACACTAAAACTATGTGGTAACCCTGAGCATCAAGTCAGCAGCCAAATCCCCAAAATATTGCCCATATTCTACTCAATACGAGTGGACAAGTGCCCGTTGGGTTACTAGGTGCTTGAAAGATGCTGATGGCGTTCTAAGTAAATGCGTGAAATAAAACTACACTCCTCACCTGTAAAACAAGCCACTGGCAAACATAGAGAGCTGAGGTCCTACGATAGCAACCACGGAGGGCGTGATCAAATTTGAAGCGGAGAACACTCCATAAATGATTGCCATGCTGTACACATAACACACACAAAAACAAAGCAAAACTCGTGAAAGCACTCTCAAAAGTTCTGTTTTTCAAATCTACTTAGAGTCTACAGATTTTTTTTGCAAGAAGCGTTCATATTCTTTAGTCAGAATTTATGAGTTATATCCTTAAACTGAATGACACATTCAAGTTTTTATTTGTATAAATATTGAAGTCTCATTAAATGTTTCTTTCCATCAGTCGCCTTGGACAATAAGGTTTTTTAGGTACTGGTAAATTATAATAACAGCTAATGTATAACATATAACAGAAGCCGTGCCAAGTACTTTATACATATTTCCTTTTTTAATCCTAACAGCTCAGTGGAGAAGGCATTGTTATTATCCTCTAAAGAAAACTGAAACACAGAGGGGCTAACTAACCTGCCAAAAGTTCAGCTGGCTAGCTGGCGAATGGGGCAGCCAGGATTTCATACCCCGTAATGTGACTCCAGATTAGTCAACCAGGCTGCTCTACAAACTTAGCCTACGACTCCTGGCAACTGCATTGCGATTTCGCTGCTATAAATAACAAGCGCAGAGTTGTAACTTGTTTCAGCCAGAATTTATTTAACTCAACCTAGTGGTCTCATTGAACAACATTAAGCTACTACAGACCCAGCCCTACCTAGTACATGTCTTGTGACAAAGTGTGACTAAAACCATTTTGAAGGTTCTGAATGCATTTACTGCTTATAAATCCAAAGTAAATTATTCTTCGGCTTTCATAAATCTGTCAAATACTAAATGTTCTTTCAGTTGCTCTTTAGAACACACAGGAAGAGAAAGCAGTACCAAAAATTACGGTATTATTAATCATTTAGAAAAAGGGCCATTAACATCCCTTCGCTCTCAGATGTCATATACAAGGTCAGGCTTAGGACAGACAGGTAACAAAGAACCACAAAAGACTCTGGCCGGTGTGGGTGGAAGGGACTGATACCCGGGATGGGTACTGGCTACAGTCCAATATCTCACTGTAGAGAAATTCCGAAACCTATTTGTGCTTAGACACACGTACATATCACATTCCCAGTTCCAGTCAGTGTCCTAGTGACTTACGAAGGTCTTTCCACTTCAGTTTCTCCACTGTGCGAAATTGGGACTAAACACCTTAATAAAAATCTAAAAGCTCCTGGTGACAATATATGAATCATCGTGGAATTACAAAAACAGGAAGACCAAATGTTTCGGGAATAATATAAAACATCCTCTGTTTAAGATTGGGAAGATAAAATATGACAATACTCGGGTGCTTATTAAATGCCAAGTACTGTGCCAAGTGTATTACATGCCTTATCTGAGCAAGGAAACTGAGCTCATAGAAGCGACTGGCCTATGATAATGCAGCAATTGAGTTGTGAAGCCAGGATTTCAAACCCAGTGTCAAGTCTACATGAAACCTAAACTCATCACCTTTATACTATTATGTTCTCCCAGTCTAGATACAGAGAAGAAAAAAAGCAATCACTGTTAATTCAATCACAGTATTTTATTGCCGATGATTTTGATGGGATTTAAGCAACTACTTTAATATATAAAGTAAAACCAAACATACAGTACAATACCTGGTATATCCACTGCCATGAAAATCTGTGCTATTTAAGCTCCTGATGACAGTTTGCTGTGTGGAAGATAAAACTAATCAACGAAACGAAACGTCTTGCAATCTCCCTCCCCCTGGAAAGTCTCCAAGTGCTAAGAATAAAGTAAAAATTCAAGACGCTCAATATTTAATACTGAAAGTCGACTATAAGAAAAGAAAAAGGATTGCAAAACAGGAGAAAAACCAATGACAGGGAAGTCGGAGGCAGGGAAGGGGGACTTGCTAAAACTATGCCTTAGGTTTTATTTCTTTAACTCTCCAAGTATAATGTAGACCTTAACACAAAAAAAAATAAAATAACTAGGTCAACATACAAACCCTAAATCTAATCAGAAATAAGCAGTAGTTTCAAATCCCGTATATGAAGAAACGTCTGATATATGAAATCAAACTTAATCATAAAAAAACGAGGAAGCGAAGTGGGAAAATAAAGGGCGCAATTTAAGCGCGCTGTTAGGTATAATTAACGTTTATTATCATTTGGGGGATGCATTAAGATAGGCACTTCGAAGGAGGGACAACAGACCCCAACTCACCGCCACATTTCCACAAGTTTGAAAGGCGGTGAACATAAACATAAAGGCAATTCCTAAAATAATGATGTTGAAAAGCTTTTTAGACTCCGGGGACATTTTGGCTCAACTCTGCCGGAGATCAGCCGCAGCCCAGGGTGGTCAGCTCTCCTCGGGGCGAACCCACTGACAATCCTGGGGAAAGAGATGAGATGGTGAGAGGACGCAGATCCAGGAGCAGGGCAGCCAAGCTGTCAACTTGCAGTTCTTGTGTCAGAATCCCGGGCTTAGGGTGAAGCTCTCCCCACGGGCACCGTCAGGACATTCCTAGGATACGATCCGAGTAGGGAAGAGCCCAACACCCGGAGACGCGCCAAGAACGTTGAGGGGCCCGCGAGGGGATTAGGGGACCAAGGGCGAGCAGCAGCCGCCGACAGGGCCCCGCCCGCCGGGCCCTGACTCAACGCAGGTCAGGCGACTCGGTCACCTGACCGCAGCCGTGGCGACGGCCGCTCAGCCCGCTGGGAAATGTAGTCCCCGGCAGCCCGACACGCGCAGGCGTGGCGCGAGGGCTCTTTCACCTCCCGAGGATGGGAGAGGGGCCGAGCCCGCGGGGGCCGACGAGGGGGGACTGAAACCGGAACCCAGCGAAAAAGTGGGAAATTCCGAAAAGGGACCTGAAAACGGCGTAGCTGCGCCTAAGGCAGCCAGAGACACAGAGAGCCAAATAAGGGAATGGGAACTCCCTCTGACAGATGCAGACCTGAGGTCCGAGCTGAAAAGCAACACGGGACTCAAAGACTGGCATGGAGGAGAAGGCGGAGCCCAGAGAGGAGCACCTCCTCTTCCGCCTGCCCGAGAGCGCCCAGCCAGAAAGAGCGTTTCGCGGGCTTTCCAACTGCCCGCAAACTCTGCTTCCCCCTCCCAGCAGTAGTGACTCCGCGCTTTTTGGCCCGCCCGCCCGGTTCTGCGCAGGCGCGTTGGGTAGGGGCGGGACGCGCGGCAGAGACGTTGCGGGGCGGGGCGGGGCGAGCCAATCAGAGGATTCATTTCCGGGTGCGGGCGCCATTTTGTGAGGAGGCATATAAATGGGCGCTGGGGCCGGCCGCTCGCCCAGTTGCTTGCGTGCTGTAGTCGGCTTTGGGCTTTATCCGCTCGCGTTCCGTGGGGCCTTTCAAAAACGTTTCCACGCGGGAGCCAACTGCCGGCGGAGAGGCGCGGCGTCGAGCCGAGCTCGTCGGGGAAACCGCCTCAGCCGCGCGCGCGGCCGCCCCCAGGGCGTTAGGTTTTTCGGCGCGCAGTCGCGGGGCCCGGCCGACTCTCCAGAGCCATGAGTTACGGTCGCCCGCCTCCCGATGTGGAGGGCATGACCTCCCTCAAGGTGGACAACCTGACCTACCGCACCTCGCCCGACACCCTGAGGCGCGTTTTCGAGAAGTACGGGCGCGTCGGCGACGTGTACATCCCGCGGGACCGCTACACCAAGGAGTCCCGCGGCTTCGCCTTCGTCCGCTTCCACGACAAGCGCGACGCCGAGGACGCCATGGACGCCATGGACGGCGCCGTGCTGGACGGCCGCGAGTTGCGGGTGCAGATGGCGCGCTACGGCCGCCCCCCGGACTCGCACCATAGCCGCCGGGGACC